GGGAAGATTATTTTTATGAAACGTTTTTCAGTTGGAAAATATTAACTTGTTAAAACTGAGGTTTTGTGTCCTGAACGAGCCCGAGGAGTTCCTAAATAACTGATGGCTCAGTTGTAATGGTTGCAGCACAAAGGAAGATGAGGATCTAGGTTTCTATACTCTATGTCAGTAGTGAGAGGTTAGAAGTCTTTGGCTTTATTTTGCTATGGAATGAAAATGTGGAACCTTGACCTGTGTTTGAGAAATGCCCTATTAAAAACCAGCCCTATGAAGACACCAAGATGCTGTAAGCTTCACCAAGACATGAGGTGACCTGACAGATGTGGTGTGCAGCTCAAACAAGTTACCTGTTTCTGTGCTGGTTTGCCTTGTGAAAATGTTTCCCCATGGCAGAAGTGCAAGTCTCTGCAATGGAAGTTACTGAGGAAGGCAGTGCTGAGGAGGTTCAGTCTTAAACACTGGCCCCCTGTTTGTAGCCTGTCTGCCTAAATTCCACACCGTCTTGATGTAGTTGCTGAATTTTCATGAGGGTGCCTTAAGCCACCTGCTCTTAAAGCTCCCAAGCACCCTCAAATTAGATTCCTCATTTCTGGATTTGAGTGTTTTATTCCACAAATCAAGTCACTTTCTTCCTATTAAGCACAGGTGGCCTGTTTCCTTTACGTTATGGTCACAGTTAAGACACTGCATGAATTGAAAAGCCATAAATTCCTAAGGTGTAGTAGTTGCCACTGGCAAGGTATCTTTATTAGTTGTAGTGAAAAGAGGACTATGCTGCTGCTTCAGTGCTCAGATTTATTTTTTTTTTCTGTTTCTCTGTCCAAAGCAGAAAACCAAATGAAGACCTCTTTTCTGAGCACAGAACCTGTTGGTAACACCTCTGTTTCGTGCTACTCAGGAAGGAAAGGAATGCTGCAACTTCTTTAATTTTCTAGCGTACAGGGACAGGTGCTCTGCACTTGGCTAAAAAGGCTGATAAAGAACTGTTGTTCATATATATAAAAGGGAAGGAGACTATAGCTGCTGTCTAGAATGAATGCTGATGACCAGTTTACAAATTACTCATCTTTTTCTTCTCCTCTTTTAGGAGCAAATCATGGCTTTTGCCAGCAAGTGATCTGTTGTCAGTTTGGAACAGCAGCTTGCCAGTGAATGCATTGCCCTTAGGAGGACCGTGACTTACTTGAATCTTTGAATTGTGTTATTTTAATTTAACAATAAAACTGAGGGATTGAGCTGTGTATGACATCATCTGCTGGTTTATGCAAACGTTCTGTCTCATCTGCTGTCCTCAAGAGGATTTAGGGTCGTAGTGCGACGAGGTCTTCCGCTACAGAATTATCTGTGCAATGTGCTTTTAATTTGGGCCTTTTGAATTGAAGCTGAGATGGAAGGAGCTGGCTGTCTTTTTGCAAATGCAGTGCTGAATTTTGCCAGCTACAACTTTTGCTGCTCAATTACTTTCACTTTGATGTGATTTCCAGAGCTGTAGTGTCACTCCTGGGTTCTTAGCACTTCCTGGATGTGGAAAGGAGGGGTAGTTTTCAGTAGAGGAGAGACAGCTCATGATGGTAGATATGTTTTAAAAGCTCTAATCTGTCTCTTTCACTCTGTTCCCTGCCCTTCTCTTGGTGCTTTATTTAATAATGGTGTTTCTCATGGAACTGGCTAGACTTAAGGGTTCCAGGAAAAAAAGAGATGCAAGACAACAGTAATGTCTAGGAAAGAAAACTGCACCACAACGTCTTGAATATTGTTAAAAATGCTTTAATTACTAAAATAGATATTCAAGATATTCTGTCTTAGGTTCCAAACACCAGCCTCCTGCATTAGACGTTTGACACTCACAACATTAAGTGAGCACTCCCCATGGGCAAGATTTACACATACGGTTGACCAGTATCAGGAATTAACATCAGAAAGAATGAAACATAAGTTTTGAACTGAAAGCCATCACTTGTGCTTCTTCAGTCACTCATATTAAGCAGTTCCTGTTAGTGACTGGCTAAAAGACATTACAAAGGAGGAGATAAAAATCAGGGCTGCAAGAAGAACTCTTCTCTTAAAAGGCTGCTTAGTCTTTATTTAAGCTAATAAATAATCTCATTGCACGAGGGTAAGTGTGAAGACTTCACTGGCTTCTCTAAATCCCCCACCCACCTTGAGTAGTTCAGATGTAAACAGCAGGGGCTCGATTCTGCAATTTCTTGCAAAAGAAACCTCTGAGACGAGTTTTTGTTTCCCTTGTGGCTGCAGGATCAGGCCCCTGATAGAGAGCAGCAGTTTTGCTTCAGTTAATGAATTGTGCCACTGACAAATGAAGGCCCTGAGCATTCAGATTTAATGCAACTTTGGTACTGGGAAGCAGAGACTCCCACCTAGCATTTGTAGTACCAGAGTCTGAGGCAAAGAACACAGAAAAGAAACTTCCTCTGCATGGTACCTCTCCGGTTCTAGACTGTCCTCCCTTCAGACAAAAGCAAACCCCTAAGTTTTTCTCAGGGCTAGCATCTATTCAGTTGGCAGATGTGCTCCTGCTGCTTGTTCCTTACGGAAAACATCCCACTTTCCTTTCCTGTTCCACATACAGCCTTGCTGCTTATTGCTCTTTGCCCCAAGATCTAGTAAGAGTTTGTCATAGCACTGGCTCAGACTGAAAGAAGACTTTTGAATTATTAAATTAGCTAGTTCTCAGGAGTAATGCAGCCTGGCTAGTAACCACTGCTTCCTACTTTGTGTTCTCTGGGATACAAAAATGAATACAATTGTTCACTGAAGACAAAATGAATGTGTTTGCAGTCACCCTGCTGTGCAGACCAGACCATACATGAAGTTTTGCCATACACTAGGAAGGGGAATAAGAAATGTTTGTGGTTGAGAAGAGGCTACAACTACTTTCTTCGTGTTCAAACAGAAGCTCCTAGTGAGGAAGGAACAGCAGTTTGATGTGACACTGAGGAATTTCCCAACATGGATCTCAGAACAGATTCTGGTAAGGAGGAGCACAGGTAGGATGAGCATTTCATATTTCAAAGAAACGGCATGAATTTACAGCACAGTGACAGTGGTGGGACAAGTACAGATAGCTCTGTCCCCAGCCCTTGGACTCCTGTGGCTGACTGAACTTGTTCAATGAAAAACACGCCTTGCACCCTAGCACCGTAAAACCTGAGATATGAGAAGGGTGCAGCTGCTTCAGCCACAGTCAAACTTGTGCTGCTAACTAGAGGAGGTGGACTAATGTTCACAGTAAGGCAAATTTCCAAGTCTCCAAACTGCTTGGCAAGATTAGTGAGGGCATGAGTGTGCTACTTCCTCCCCTTGCTGGGAATTACCAGTTATTTTCAAATCCAGTTTGCAGGGAAGGTAGCATGAGGGCAGTCTTTGGTTTTACAGGAGTGGGAAAGGTGTGTTATAGCAAATAGGTAACTGCAGGTGCCTCACAGCAAAGTGTTCATCACAAAAGAACAGTGGATAAAAGCTTCCCTTAGTCATGTGAGTAATACCTCTCTGTTCTTATGACCGGGGTAAATTCATCTTTACCTTACACATTCCATGGTGAGTAGAAGATGTTAATTTTTGATGAGCTAGCTGCCAGCTATTTCACAGGGTGGAAAAAGTTGTCTCTACAGCTGTTTCTATTTGCACTTGGAGCCCTAACGTATTCAAGCAATCTTGATGTTCCCTACAGCCAATTAAAACAAGAAAGCCAGGATCCTACAGCTCGGCTTTCTAGCCTGACAAGATGCTTTACTTAAAATACTTAAAATATTGATCTTCCATTGCTTCTATGTGTTTGGTATGAAAGAGAGGGCAAGATTCACTTTAAATTGTTACTTGAATAGCTTCATGCTATCCTGACAGAAGTCTTGGGCTTCCTAAACAGGTGCAACCCCTTCATTGGATGCACTGTTCCTAAAGCCTTGCTGTATATAATAAAAATAATTGCAGAGCAATGCAGGACTGCAGCCACCACTTTATGGGTCCAACTCCACTATATTGAATTAGAGAAATGCAGTTTAAAACAATTTAAAATTAACAAGGGATAAGCAAAAAGAGACAAGAAAGCAAACCTACTTCTGCTCTTGTTCTCCCTCTGATGCTAATCCTGCTCTCTCCCTATTTTCATCTGTTAACTGAAAAAACAACTTCTTTCACCACAGCACTGCACTCAGAGGAGGCTCCTAAAGAGGGCACAGGAAGGGATAAGCCCCAGCTGTGAAACAGGAAACCACACCTTAGACAAACTGAGCTGGGATGTTCTAACAGCTCACTGGCCCCACAGGTCTCGGGGCTGTGCAATGCCTATTTCCCCTGTGCTAGCACTAGACCTGACTCTTTGGTGAGCTGATTCAACTCAAGTTTGGTGTCGTGAATTGGTTCACCAAAGAACCTGAGGAGCACCAGCGTCAGAGGAAAGAAGGCTGTGGGAGTGCCTTGCTGAGAGCAGAGGAACAGAACTGCCTCTCATGGCCCAGTGACCTCTCAGATCAGCCATTTCATCTGACTGCACCCATAGTTTCCTTGTGGGTGTCATATGACAAGCATTCCTTTGGCAGTGGAGTTTAAAGAGCTGCCACTGCTGTCTAGTTGTGCCAACACAACTCTGTGTTATGACTACGTGCTACATGAATCACGGCCTCAGGTCTGGTGGCCAGATGTATGGTATAGCTGCACAGATTTGTAAAGGGCAGCAAAAAGGAACACAGTCAGGCACACGTTCTGCTTAGGAAATGACTGCTGCCTAAAGAAATGCTTGGCAAGTTACAACCTATGTTTTAGCCAGCACCTTTCCCAAAACCATGCCTAAAGTGTGCTTACAGCAGGCCCCTTCTTGAAAGACTGGAGTCGTCTTGCAATGTATCAGCTAAGCTAAGCTAACAGCCAGGTACTTGGAACGCTGAGGCTGGCAGCATCCAGAGTTGTTTGCTTTTCTCTGAATGACTGCTGATGCCATCTTTAATTTTTGTATTTAACATCTCACAAGCAAACTGGAGTTATGTATGTTTAAAATAAAAGGGGGAAGGGAAATCAGATGTCTGTAGTCTACCACCATATGCCAGGTACTCTGTGCTTCTAGCAGTGGGATGCTATTACAAATGTGCTGGTGAAAGCTGGCTTTGAGCCCCTTGCAGATACTCTGCTGGAGTTTAGGCCTTTTGACCTTCGGAAGGCAGCTTCTGGATCATTTATGGCAATCACAATTATAAATCATACTGTGGCAACTCTCATTATGCACGATGCCAATCCTGGGTGAAGATCTGTTCTACAGCTTTGGTCCATGTTCTGCTGTGTGGCGAACTCCAGCTGAACAACGTACCTGGAGATTTCAGTTTGCTTTCTGAGCTTGTCAGAAATGCTGAAGTCCACAGGAACATCACAGCTCAATAGGTTATCCCCAGAGACTGCAGTAGGTGAAAGGTAGCACCCAAAGTCCAGCTTGTCTCTATGTTGTTCACTTTCTTTGTTAACTATAAAGGAGGAAAAAGAAGTTGTTCCTGTCAGTTCTTTAGATTCATGTGTTGCACAGATGACAGCAATTACATGTAACGACCCTGGAAAGACTCAGTAGATAATCAGCCAGAAAAATGAACTAATGCATATTGATCGATAAGAGAAATTTGGAAGCTGGCTTTGGGATTTAACTGTTCTTCTCACCTGTAGGAGCGTGTTGTCCCTAAATCCAAATCCTTCCTTTAGTAAAGCAGTGATGTAAGTGAGATCCATGCAGAGGAAAGGACTGGCTGAGTTGTACCTCTCCATGTTATCACAGACTAGAGAAGAAAGAAAAAAAAGTATCTCAACAAAATAAAGGAGCTTTTATCTATGTTATACATTTGAACTGACCTCAAGCCAAAGCCTACTAAAACAACCCACCCACTTCTATTAGGGGTACATCTGACACATGGTGTGTGCTACACAGCTGCTCTAGAATGTTGGAGAATAAACCACATAGTACTTCCAGTTTCTCTTAATTCCATCATAAGTACATCTTTTATTACAGCAACATAATCCACATAGCTCTTTTGATGTCTGAATCTCTGCTCACGTGATAAGCGGAAGAGAGTTGGTTATTACTTAGTCCTTCAAGAACTTTCAATGAACAGCATCATTTGTCTTCCTTGTCTAGTCTCCAAGGATGGCTCCAATAATGGACTCCATCTCCTAGGTTGGCAGCTTCTTTGATTTTTTTTTTTCCAATGACACATGTCCAAGGACATGGAAGAGGTTATTGCCCAATCAACCACTCCCTGACTGCAGCTAAGTCAAGATTCCACAGTGGCGAATTTACACTAAGCATTGTCTTCTGGACCTACTGTTACTGCCCTGTTCTAGAAGCATCAAAAGCAGAGTTCACTTGTTAGAAACTGATAAGCAGCATCCTTCTACTATTGCGATGAGAAAGATGAGCATTAACTTAGGATCACAGAATTGATCTCCTCATGCTCTAAAGCTAAATAAATGGTTTGATGGTGTTTGTTAGATAACATCTTTTAGCTGTGTCTTTGGAAATAAGCTCTCTCAGTATCCGGACAAACAAAACAAACCAAACACAAACTTTAGAGCCTAATCCCCCTATTCAAAACCATTGGAGTTTCTAGGGAGATTAAGTTTAACTGAAAAATCATTAGAATTTAAGTCCTATTTTAGGAAAAACGTCCATCCTGAACTACATAATTAAGCATCTTCTGGTGACAAATACGATCTACAAGGATGATCACAATTCAGAGGTAATGTCTTGCTCTGTAAGCTAAAGTTTTACCCACCAGCAGCATGGCAAGATGGGAGCTCTTTTTTTTTTTTTTTTCCCCACAGGAGGAGGTACAAATCTAGAACAAGCACTCTGGAAAAAATTCAGAGGGAAGGAAAGGAATACAGAAGAGGCTGTCAGACTTAAACAACCTCTGCTCTCTCCCTCCATTTTGTTAGAGATTAAAAAGGATTTAAGGTGACAGACTTAAAGAAATCAGCTAAACTCAGAGAGTTGCACTTTGACAGAAGGAGCTCTTGATATAGCAAATTCACTTTCTTTTGTACTGACATTTATGAACTATCTCCTCTCCTGAACAGAACTGTGAAGCCTCTAACACTTTGTTTCCCCTCACTGGTCTTCATACTTTCTTCTGCAACAGTTACAGGTGTTGGCTAATAAAAGCTAGGTAACATGACAGGGAAGGTATAACTGGAATAAAGGTTAAACAGACTTTTAAAGTCAAACTCACATTATGTACTGCCTATAAAAAATTCATATTTTTGTTATTTCTCATCCCCGCCAGTTTCCCAAGTCTCATGACTATTACCTTCTTTGGCTTTTCTTTCAAAATCTTTCACTTCCAGAACACCTCCCTGTTCATAATCTGAAAGGGAAGAGGTGAGAAAACATCATCATAGACGTGAAAGCATTTGTGTTCTATATCTAAGTTGACCCTAGAGTGCAACTCCATGATGCTGGGCTAGGAGTAGGACCTCTTGGTAACAGAGGACAGAGCTGCAAGTATCACTGGAGCTCAGAGCACAAGCCTCATCTGCTGGAACATCAAACTGCACTGACGGATACATGTTCATTCCCTGAAGTCATCTTGTGTCTTTCCTCTTTCTCAACACCTTTCCTTTTCCCTGCTCCTCATGGCTCCAGCCTCCAGGGTTCCTCTGTCTACCTTCTGGCTGACGTGCTCATGCATAGTAGATTATCCCAAATCAACTTACCAATTAGGTCGGTGTCAACTGCGCGATCGTAATAATAGGAGAAAGCATAGAAGGAACTTCCACGAATCTCATCTGGTTGGTGAAGTTTTCCTTTGACAACCTTGAGTACTTCCAAGTAGCAAGGCTTGAATCCTGTTTCTCCTGCCAGGACAGAGATGGGGTAAGCCAAAAAGGCAGATCCAGGAGATGGAAGAATCAGTGGCAAGAGGATGAAAAAAGGGAAGAAGCAGATATTAAAGCATCAGAAGAAATGAGAAGAGCTTAGATATCCCTTCTGTAATCCCGCATGACTCCTGCATGGCACCTGCATGCAGGCAAGGACTCTAGATCAGCATCATCAAGTGGAACTGGTTAGAGCAGATCAGAGCAGTATCTGAAAGGTGTGCTGCGCAAACTAGTGTCGGTGCATGAAAAGCTTCCTCCACATCAGGCAAAACTCCCATTATTACATTCCTTGGGCAGCAGAATCTCATTTACATTTGCCGCCCCCTTCTAGATAAAACGTTCCTTTCCCTCTCCATCACACTGTAGTTTTACTCATCTACTCCACACACGCCAAATCTGCAACTCAACTCTCGTGTTCCCTACTCTAAAGTAAAGCAACATGAGTCACCAAAGGGTTCTGTTCTACTCACCCATGGTAGCAGCTTCACCCTCTGTACACGGCATTAGGGGTAGTATCTTAAGAAATAGTTCCACAAGTAGGATAAACTTTGGCCTACCAGTTGGTGTACCCTAACAGAGCCAGAGGTTTTGCACTTACCTCAAAGCCTCAGAAAACCCTCTCTTATTTGCATAAGTAACTCTTAATGTTTCCTATAAAGGTAGCATTTGTAATATGAGCTGATAGAGAGTGATCTCTGAGTATGGGGAGTGCAGGCCAGTTACTCTTACAAGCTTCAGATTTTTCTTTGGCTCTGTCAAAAGTCCACATGTAGGACTGGACAGGTATCCTACATCACCCAAGGTAACTGATGGAGTATTTGCCAAGGAAAAACCTCAGATTCTGAAGACAAGACTCATCTTACAAAAAGCAGCAAGTCTCCTTAGTTTACCTTCTTTGTTGCCACCATACCGGTATTTCACTCCCCCGAAGTGCCACTCTGCCTCCAGCTGCTTTGGCAAACAAGAACTGCGGAACATTTGTCCATCCACAGCTGGAATGAAACCAGAGGGGAGAGTCAGGAAGGATAAAATTTAACAGTTATCGATCAATATGCAGAACCAGAAAAGAAGGGGCTGAAAGATCTTCATTAAGGTCTGTAAGCAAAAGTACAGAAATCTGAATTGATGGATGCCGCACAAACTGATTATGAATTAAGGACCAGTCTCAGTCTGGAAAATTTGTGTCCGTTTTGTCCTGCAAGCTGCAGAGCAGCTGGGCTTGTTATTTGTTAATGAGAGATAAATGGTAGAAGGGTATCTGGATAATAGCTGTTCACCATAGAAGACAAGAAACAAGAGAGGAGATTAAACACACAGATACACAAACCCTAACAACCAGCAGATAACCAAGAAAAACAAAGCAACTGAGCAACGAAGACAAAAACTCCTAAGACACTGTTCAGTTGCCACTACAAGATCCACTGAATTTACCCTTGAAGTGTTCAACCAGAAATACTCTAACTGATAAGAAGAAAACACGATTATTGTGGCCAGCACAGGTCTCACAGAAAAAGCAAACTCCTTACAGAACGGTTGAGGGGGATTGTGGGATTGTGCAAAATTTACCATGGGATGTTTAGGGCAAAGCTCAGAGGCAGGGAAAGGGGGAAATCAAGGGATCAGGGAAGTGCAAGCGTGGGAAATTGGAGAGGATGATAGAAGGCGGCAATCACCAGTAAGCAGGCAGCTGGTCAGTATGCTTTTCTGGCTGAGCCTTGTGACCAATCATGGCAGGCTGTCCTATCTTTTTCTTAAACCCTGTTCCCAACTGGTTTTGATTTGAGTACATTCCAGTAACTAACACAAGTCCATCTAGCTGGCAAGTAAGAGTCCAGAAAGTGGAAAGACCCCAGGTCCTGGCCAGAGACTAGACAAAAGGCCCAAGGTCTGGGCATGAGTGGAAAGACTTAAGGTCTGGGTCAGAGACTGGAAAGGCTCAGCAACGTGAGTATGCATTCAGGTTAGGGAGTGAGAGTGCATGTGATATGCTTATGGACTCCAAGCTAGACTAGTCAGTGAATACAACAGGAGGTCTGGAGGAACATGGCGGGCCAGGCAGATAACAGAGACACCTATAGAGTGGGCCTGGCCTAAGCAGCAATCCTTGGGAAAAGGATCTATTCATGTTTTTTGTGTTTCTGTGGATGCTTGTAAAGCTGTGCGTTTGTGGATGGCCATGCCTATGTGGTGGCTGTATGTTCCCATGTGTGCATTGCTGGAATTTGCACTCGGTCTCACTGCTGGCTGAACCTGGAAATAGGGAAAAGCAGCTGTCTCACAAGCCAACTCCTAAATAAGTGGTAACCTGTTTCCAGACAGATCTATACCAGCAAAAACATAGAAAAGTGCAAAGTACAGAGGTAAAGACATGGGAAATGGGCTTCTGACACAAGACTAAGTCTAACCATCTCTTCAGAACTCTTGGGATGTCTTATCATATGAACATACCTTCCACATTCAAAGCTCCAAGTGTTGCTAGTCTGGCAGCTTTTAGTCCAAATCCCAAATAGCTGCAAACAACAGACATTACAGTTTTAATTCTTGCACATCTGGTATGCTTCACCCATAGCCTCTTCCTAAATCCTGGAACACCCAACCCAAATTTCCTTCCTCTGCTTCCCACATGTCTCCCGTCTCTAAAACAGAGTTCCCTTTGCCAGAACAATTCCAAGTACCGAAAAATCAACACAAACCGAAGAATTACAGATAGCTGTAAAATGGGTGAATCTAAAACTGCAGAAAGTGGTTAGGGCTGATGTGACATTTCTACAAGACATTGATGAAAAGCAAAAATGTAGAGTCTTAAAAACAAGGGAGAGAGACAGGGATGTGAGGAGTACATGAGGAATAGGATGGCCATTCTTATGTCACACATAAGACTATGTGCTCTTAGGGAAGAACTAATAGGAGAACTGCAGAACCTCCCACTAAACGGGAGCTGTGCATTTTTGTGAAATTCACCTGTTTGACTCCACAGATGACTGCTATACTCATTACAGGCTAGGATGGGAGCAACATTCATGAGAATGCCATTACACGTTGCTGGCTTCAGCAACACAGCTAGATTCAAAACCTGTGCCCTTTCATTCCCATCTCTGTGCTTGGCTACTTATCCCTTTAATACAAATGTTTACAGAATAATCAGAGTTAAACTAACCTCCAGCTCCCTCATTTTTTAGGAGATGATTTTCAGTCCCAATTATTTTAAGTGATCTAATGGACTGTATTAGTGAATACAGCAATCAGTCACATCGGTAAATGTAAGCAATAGGAGAGAAGGGCTATTAAACCATCCTTCCTGTCAAGTAAGCATATTCTGTAACTGACCGAGATGATAATCTTCACCCCACTAGTAACAAGCTGAGACCAACTCTCCATTACACACAGCTGATTTCTCATTAGACTCTAAGTCATGTAGGTAAACTCTCTGGATTTCACCGCAGACACCTCAGAAACTCGTTAGCTTAACGCAGTAAGCACAGTTGTATTATTCCAGGCCAAGTATCCCCTCCAGTTGGTTCAAGAATCTGTTGTGCTCCATGGTCTGTATCAGCTGCCTGTGGTTGCCTCTCTTTGGTTTTATCAGTCTAGGTTTTACTTTTTGTCCAGTTGCTGATGAGAGGTGCCATTTTGAACTAAGAAGAAAAAAGTCTCAGGAAGGTCCTCTTTCCAAATCTCTGACCAGGTTTAATTCTGACTACTGGCATGATAGCCACCTTTCTGCTTGGTACAGAATACTTGGCTTGAATCCACTAATAAGAATTCTTTTCCTTAAATATAGTGACTCATTGTGCTTCCTCTTCATTTGACAGACTAATACTCCCTTGCAGTGATATTAACCATGATCCTGGAAGGTTTCCAGTCAACTAATGTCATGTTCCACTTCAACTAATGTTTCAAGCAGACAAGAAAACTAGTAAAAAAGTCACGGTCCCAGCAGCTGGTAACAGGATGACATGGTCATTTGTGGTTAGCTCAGGGGCTGCAGAAAGACTGATTTCCCCAGCGAGGACAGCAGCCTTTTTGCTCCTCACCTGTGGGTATAGAGCTTGTAGGTGCTATTAAACATTTCAAATGAGGTAAGAAAATCCCCAGGGGTTTCCTTCAAAGTTTCCTAAAAGTTAAGTAAAAGAAGAAATCTTTTAGTTTCTATTATGCAATAGAAAATAACCAACTTTGATGTCATATCACAGATACAGCCATAGGGTTTACTGCACACTCATCTGATGTGCTTTGAAAACAACGAACAGTTTTCCAATGGTGCCCACTGCAGAAATATCTGCCGCTTTTAACACTGAGTTCATTTATATGCATCTTTGTGTATGATGTATAATAGGGAAGCGCAACAGATCAGGATGAAAATACTTTCTAATTCAGGATACCTGAATTTTTCAGAGTATTTATGTGCTAGTCTCTATATACAGAGTTCCCATCAAAATCAGCTGCACTAGAAGCACTATGAACTTTTGCAACTCAGACCAGACATCTCAATTCAGGAACTCAGATGAATTAAAAATGTAAAGTAAAGTATAGGCCACATTTTCACCATATATAACGTCATGCTGATACTCAAGGAAACACTGTGACCACTCACTCCCAGTCTAAGGGCTGCTCTACCTCCTGGTTTAAGTGCTTTCCTCAAAATTAACCTCTTGTCTCACCACCTCCAGTTTTCTTCCTTCCACAGTCTTCCCTCTGCGTGCACCCCTGCCCCACTGGTATTCAGTCCCTGCCTTCTTCCCAGACTAACTGTCATATTCTTGTAAACCTGAACCAGTTTAGGGCTCATGTACTGTTCCTTTGCTTCCTGAGGTCTCAATCCCAGTTTCTGTCTTTCCTCTGCTAGTGACCTCACTCTCCCATCCTTTCTTGCCCCTGTGCATTCATCAGACACTCTGTTATTTCGGCAAAGCAGGAGAACATCAGAGAGGACTGAAGCTGCAAAGTCCCTGTAGTTACCATTCAAGTAACCAGATACAGCAAAAAACCCCCACCAAACAGATCTGGAATTGTAGAGTCCTAGACAGAAGCCTGCTCAAAGCTGAAAGAGATTTGGCAGTATTCAGCTTGAGTTGCTCCTGAACAAATACAAACTGAAATTTGTGTCAGATGATAGATAGCATTTTTGCCTCAGAGAGATTTTCATTGGAATGGCAGTCACATCCTTGACCCAACACACGCAGACCCTGCTGTATTTTCAGTTCTGTTCCTAAACCTTACGTCACAAAAACTTTTAAAAAGGAGAGATCCTAAAAAAAAATATTTGGAGAAAACAAACTTTTTTTCATGCCTTACTTTCACAAAAATGTAGAAATCCTCACACCCCTTCCAAAAGAGGCAGGCACCAGACAGACAAATTTCATGATTATTACGATTGGTTTTTAGTTGCTTATAATTTTGGCAATAACACCATGAAAAGCATAAGACTACCTTAAAAACAGCTCCACGCAGCTACCATTATATGTCTTCTATTTGCTTGTAATCTATACTTCATTAATGAATCTCTTACTATTACAGTATTTTGTTCAAAATGAATACAAGAGCAAACACGCAACTGCCTTAGATTGTAGGAAGGGGGGGGAAAAACCCCTCTGCAAACCAAAGGGTGAAATCCCTGCTAATTGTGTCAGATAGGAAGAACTCTTCATACTGAGCTATGTATGTGCTTTTTTGTATGAACTTGACAATACAGGTGAGAAGCAGTAGCAAACCCTCGAGGCCTTTTCCTGCAAAGCTCTAAGGAGAAGTTTGAATCCTGAGCTGCAGTTCAGCCTACTTCACAGCTCTATTTATTCTCTGAAACCCTGACATGCAACACCCTTTCCTGTTGGTCCAGTGCCCACTTCAGCAGGTGTTATCAACACAAAACAGAGGGCAAGCCCGGAGTACTTCAGGCTTTGCTGAACAGGATAAGGTTGCACATCATGTTTCAGCATGACCCACCACTGCAGAATTAAAATATCCTGATATGAAACCCATGTGTTTTGCAGTCCCCAAACGCCCTTTGAGAATCTCAATTTCTGTAAGCAAAAAATGTTAAATAAAGGACTCCTGCAGAAAGAGGGACAAAATCAGCTCCACAATATCAATGTACAGAATACCATAGTGACCTTCCAATACCCATGTCATTGTCCCATGCAAACTTCAGACTTGGGTCTCAGTTCAAACTGTTTCTAAAGAGCTACAGAATTCCTGATAAATCCAGCAGAGATGGACTGAGGGGCAGAGAGGGGAATTCTCAAAGAAAGTGAGAAGAAATCGATAAGAAAACAAAGAGGGATCAGCTGTGCTATTATAAAGATGTTTGCCTCATGAGACACCCTCCTCCTCCTGCCTCTTTTCCCCCCCTGCCAAATTTAGTTAGAATCTGCTATCAGACTGGAATGGGAAAAAATAAAAAAAGATAACTCAGAGTAGACACTAAATTTCTTGTAATATGCAAGAATATTTTCCTGGAAATGTTCTACATTTATTGAATACAAAGTAATTATCTGCATTAATGGAGCCTTCCCAGGTTGGGTCTAGAAAACAAAAGCTGTTTCTCTTTGGTTTTACCCATTTGCTTGGTTTCTTTTTTTCTTCATTGTTATCCAGGCTCCTTTGTTTGCAAGTGCCTATCAGCCAACTGCTGATGTCAAAGAGAACAGAAATACAGATGTTCTGTACACCACAGATGTTCCGCTTGTGCCAGTGCTGACAAAGCGATACCAGAGCACGCGGCAGTGCTCAGGTCTCTCCACTGGCCTTGCATCCCAACCCGCACACTTGTAACCACTCCTCACCTCAAACCGTGGCAGGAATGTGATTTGGGTTGAGGCTCCTCCCAAGTCCAGAGTCCCAACAGTATGCTGGTTCCGGCCAGACAGCTGTCCTGGAAACAACATCATGCCCAGAACAGCCCCAAGCGCACGAATGTTAAAATGGGGATACCGCATCTATGTTCAAGCAACTGACAAGTTATCCCATTATCACAGCACTACAGGAGGGCTGAGCTGGCCTTCAAAACAAAAAACATCACAGAAAAAAGGTAGGCAAACAGAAGGTATTACGAAAAGATTTATGGGACTTTCTTCCCTGATTCCAATTTTACCTCCAAAGAGGCAAAAGCAGATAAATCTCTACATACCCAGTAAGAGCTGAGAGAGACAAAGTATCTTCTGCAAAAGACTGTCAGGGAGAATTCTGTAACCACCATACAGCCGGTCAAAAGCAGCAAGAGAGGCAGGATAGTAAGAGCAGAACCAGCTATTACCATTCCTCTTCATCCAGAGCAGCTTTTTTGCTTGCTCATTGATCTACCAGAGTACTGATTTTCTTTTCTCTTCACTAGATTGCATTCCCAGAACTTCTCAGAGCCAGCAAGGCTAAAGCACCAGTGCTTTCCCTGTTACACCATTTTAGTTGCATAGTTCACACCGGGATGAAGAACACTGTAAAACCTTGTTTCCCACCTTCTAACAGATTACCAGTACCACTCCCCCATGAATGTTGCAGAAACCAGCTTGCCAGTGCCTCCCAGCCCTGAGTAAATCCTGGCACCTTCTGGATTAAGATGCCTTCTTCTTACTACAGGTGTGCTCTCCCCCTGGAACACGCTCTGTCCAAGACAATCCACTGCTTTAGCACTGTGCCACAGTGGGGAGGAAAAGCAGGACATGGCAACCAAGGCAGAGGAACTTAGGGTGATCACCTCCACAGAAGAGACTCAAGTTCCTATTTAGAGAGAAGTTATACAGAATTAACTACCTGTCAAAAAGTTCACAGTGATCCAGGCTAAAATTCCTGCAAAGAGTGAAAAAGGAAAAAAAAAAGTCACCAGTGAATACTCCTACAGCCTCCTGCCCACCCTCACCACACCTCCGTGTTATTTATTTACCTGGAAATCATTACTAAATAAACCACCCCGTACTTCAGAGATTGATTCAAACTTACAATTAAGTGATATGATCAACTATTGACTCATTAAAATTTGATAAGATAGGACAGGTAGACCGTTTGTAACTTCCATGCAACTGCAGCACGCACAAGTCATGTCTATAATCCAAATAATACACAAAGAAGTAACGAGTGGACACAGTGCACAAGTTTCCTTGGACACTTTTCCCCCCTGCAGCATTCCAATTTCTAATCTGAAAATTGCATACACACCGCTCTGTGTTCTAATGTTGTGGCTTCTGTAATTACACTACAGACATAGTGGCAACCAGTAAAACACAACACTTCTTTGGCTCCAGCGGCTTGCTTGACACTGGCATGGTTCTCACCAAATGTAGGTAAACACGTGACAGAAGAAGAGGTGGGATTTTTAAATAAACCTTGGCAGGCTACACTGTGTTCTATTATGCCTCATTGGTCCTGCTCCCTGTCAACACAACACTTCTTCCTACTATACAATTCACCCATTAATCACAGTGACATACTATGCATTGCACTGTACTTCACCAAATATTTGCAGACTTTATGTTACTTCTCCTTTTCTCTTGGCTGATATGGACAGATTTTGCTCTTTAATCTTCCTCCATTTATTAGTTGTTTAAGTGTTGCGATAATTCTTTTTTCTTTCCTTGAACAACTTCCAAACTGGCAATATATCTGCCATAATGGCGTGTTCAGGACTGAATGTAACATCACAGATGGCTCTTTTCAGGCATCCATACAGGAAGATTATTATCTGCCTATTCTCCGAGGTAATATGTCTGGACATGTAGCCAAAATGTTACAGTGGTCTGTTCTGCACTGCAAAGTCATCACTCACTCCAAACCTACAACGTATTTCACCTTTTCTTGTCTTTTATGTTACTTCCTTTGCTACTTTACTAGCTGCATTTTTCCCATCAGTATATATTTTTTTGTTATCTAATTTTTTAATACTTGCCAATTATCCTTCATTCTCCTCTAATATTCACAATGCTTCCAACTTTAACTGCAAAATTGATGAGCTAATCATAATAGGTTATTTTTAATGCTGATATTGCAGAATTTACTAGGCACTTTTCATAAGCTTCCTAGCTTGCTATATATTGTCATGTAGCCTTTCTGAGGTGGACACCATCTTTTTTTCCACCAGTTCCCAAGAGCAGGCTTCAGCTGGTTAGCCTGCATACTTATTTCTGAGATGAGGTTCTCTTCTGGAACTTCAGAAGCTTTCAGATGAACCTTCATCTGCTAACTCATAAACCTCTGTGTGTGTCTGCCTTTGTAGCCTCACAGATGACCAAATAATCAACACCTCGTAGGAACAGCAGGATTGCATTGTTTCAAAGAGGGTTAGAAACCTTTTATTTTCTCCCTCAGTTTAGTGACATTTCTCTTTCTCTCTCACATTGATAAGATCTCTCTCTCTCTCCCCCCCGTTTCTGTTGGCTTTCAGTTTTCCTCATCTGAAACATACCTTCATAAGACCCATCCATGATGCTAACACTGTCCTCTGGAACAAGAAATGGTGATTCCTCAAAGACTTCTCTCACCTGAAGAAAGAAATAATGACTAGATTCCTTGGTCTTAAGAGTCTTGTTCTGCTCTGAGGGTGACAGAGAAAGTTTTCTTTTTCACAGCACTAGAAAATAAGACAAGGGTATGGAGTAGACAATATTCTTCCTCTTTCAAGGGCCAGGAAAGACAGAAAGAAGGATTGTAGGTCTCTCTCCCCATGCCTTCTATCCATATCACAACAGCAGATTTCAGGACCACACAAGAAAGCCTGTATAGTCTGTGAGTTTCATACTATCATGGGATTACAGTCACTTTTCACAGGTGAAATTCTCTTATGCTAAATAGAATGGAGAACCGAGTCATGAAAGATGAAACAGGGAGAGCAATACTAGTGCATCCAAAAGATCTTAGTGTTACCTTTAAAAGCAGAGCCTGAGCTTTCTCCTCCGACAGCAAGCGCAGTCCGGCTGTGGCTTTTAACACTACTGGGGTCTTCTTCCAGAGATGAGGTGGCACAGCATCTATGGCCATGTCCAGCAATTTTCTGACAGTTTCAGCACCCTAACAGGAAAAAGATGTTTTTCTTACAGTTTCCTTCCACAGGCCTCCCAATTCCCCCTCAACACTAGTGAAACCAGCATTCAGTAGCAGAAGATACCTCACCCACACCCAAGATAAGTGTAAAAACTGTGCTAGACATCTCATTAGAACCTTAAAGAGAATGCCTGCATTGGAAGGAAGGGTGTATTCAGAGATAAATCTTAGGTGGGAGAAACTTCATTGTTTGTAGAAGGTATTTTTTGGAAAGGATGGAGGGAAGTGAGGGAACTGATTACCTGACAAACCTAAACATCTTGCAGTATGATGAAACTAAATGGTGCAATTACTGACTGAAGCTACCAAGGTCAGGGTGAATGTCTGTAGATTTCACTAAATGCAATATAAGAATCCTAAATGTGTCCATAGCAAGTAGCATACTGCTGGGCTCTCAATTATTTAAACTGCTCTAACAACTACAGTTTGGCATTAACAATAAACATTCTCCTGCAAAATTTCTAGAAATTTCTTTTGGGGTGAGTTGTTCTCCTCTCCTACCAACAAACAAGACGATTTAGTGAAATCATAGGAGATTTCACCAAAGTTTAAAAAAATCCAAAAGCCATTCACTCTTCTATAAAGTTCCACACTCAAATTCCTGTATCTCTGAATGCAAGTGAGGAAGATGAGAAACCCGAAACTTCCCTAGGCTAGCCCCCAACTCCAAGACTGCTAAAGCATGCAAGGTAGAGTATCTAATCCATCATTTCTCTGGCACCTCCTTTAGCTTGTGAAACAGCTCACTGTCAGTGCAGGGGATGTGGAAAATGACAGCTTACTTCAGGACTGGTGCTGTGTATCACAACAACAGGATTGTTTTACTGCTCTCTGCTCTGTTGCTCATTTCTGACTTCTGATCCAATAGAGTGGCATGGAATGAGTGTACTGGGTACAAATTCACAACCACCCCCGTTTGAAAATAAAGAGGATGGCACCTAACTTCAATTTCTTATTAAAATTATAAATTCATATGTTAATTAAGACATCTGATTGTGGAAGATGGAACTGTCCAGCTGTGTTTTGAAAACCTCCGTATATAAACAAAACAAGTCCTGAGGCAGTAGAAGAGTAACTGCCTGTACCTAACTCATTATTCAGCTAAAACTGTAATCAAATATTTGAACGGGGCATGACTGAAGCAAGTCCTACATATCACCGAGCACTACCTTCCAAGCCATGATTCCAAAGATAACAGCCAAGAATCAAAACAAGTAAATTATTGGAAGTCAGATGATAGAAGCAGAGAATACACTTAGAGAAATATTAAGGCCTGACTTAACCTGCTAAATGCATCTTTATTCTTCACCTTCTCCATAACTTTTTAACAAAAATTAACTTTTGTACATCTGACTATACACACAAAAATAATTAAACATTTTTAGGAGTCAGAGAAATGAACCATGTATGCTTGTCAGTGTAACTTGACTAAAAAAGAAAACCCCTGCAGTCTTAACCCCTTACTTCTAAACTAAACAAATCAAACCAAAATACGCCCATTCTGAACTGTGACCAGCACTGAAAATTTCAACCAAAAGGAAAAACTAAGAAATTATTAGTAAATGAGACAGGAGTCTCATATTTACTCATATTGGGGTACCTATAGGGGAGATAAACATTGAATATGGATGCTGCTAGAGCCAAAAAAATCACTCAAGGCATATAGTCTAGTTGATATATAGCATTTACGCAATTAATTAAGCTATTGTTCCACTGATGAAATATGTAAAACAACAGGTCCCTTTTCACTGTGTGGAAATTAACTCACAAAAGTAGAGCAACAGGTTTAGAGAGCCAGTGGTAGAAGCTTTACATTTGTTCTTGACTCTCTGCAATTACAATTAGTAATACTTGAACTGCTTAGTGGAGTCCAACTGATATTAGCAGAAGCAAGACCAACTCACGGGGAATGAAGGAGAGCCTTACCTTTTCAGGCTGATCAGCATATGCAGAAAGACCTGGCTTCACAGACTCAAAGATTTCCCCTTCCAACTCTGGAAGGTTTTCTGCACAAACGAAACATCACATGAAAAAGTGAACAACTTGAATCTTTTTCTTTAGTTTCAAAAAGGTTGCCTGCAACCATGTAAAGTGACTGTCCTTGATTTCCCCTTGCAAACAATACTATCCCCCCCCCCCCCCCGCCAAAACAAGCACTGCTCTTTCACTTCAGGAACATATTTAACAGAATGTTGCCCTTGTATCCTCCAAGTTCACAATTAATTTATCAAGAACATCTTGATATAATTAGAAGTACGTTCATTTTGCATTTGTGAACTACAATGAGTTACAGCAATGTAGTATGACTGTTGCCTAATCTTAATAAAGTTTCTTTCCCTTTCTGTCCCCAAGCTAATTGTGAAATATTAATTCATACGAAGATGCACACAGTCAACTCCTGATTATCCTTAGGTGATTCATCCAACTCACAAACACAGAACAGAGCTGACTGGGCTCAAACACTTGGTTGCAAAGGCAAACAAGTGTGACCATTGCTCCCACAGCAACTTGGGTCTAGAAGTTATCCCTGTGTATTGCATATTACAAGTCAGGCTGAGTCCGCCAAAGCTGGATGTTGTACCAGTCCTTCCAAACTAAGGTTGAAATCACATGAAGCCACAAGAGCTTATTAGCCAAGTCCCATCAACCAGCCTTCAACCTTTGTGAATTTGCTGGCTCGCTGTACCCAAGCTAATTCACCCTCTTGAATCCTGTTGCATGCGCAGCTGGCTTGGGTACCTCTGCACTGTGTCAGAAGCAGATATATACTGGAGTGTGGTGCATCTGTGCACAGAAGTGGTCCTGGAAACGGCTCAGACCTTCGCGGCTTGTAACTCTTTAATTTACTGATTTTAATTTGCTATGAAATGTGACATATAAACATATGCAGAATTTAAGTATCATCTCTTTATATAATTCAAGGTAACATGCAACTTGGCAAAACCAGTGTAAGCCTCTTTCCAACTCAGTGAGACATTCCTTTAAATGGCTACATAGGTGAAAATCTTTAGAAATTCAGAACTCTCCAGTATACCCAGAATTAAAAATCCAAGTTTCAAAAGATCTACAAAAGAGATATTTTCACAGCAAAACACCACCCCAAATGGACAATAATCATTTGCTGGGGGACTATTTGAAGGACAAACTGCAGAAATCTTCAGTTGTTCCTAAATGCTATGCTGGGGGAAAAAAAAGCTCTTTTGGGAAGCTGGAACTTGAGTCAACACACTCCAACTGCACAGACTAACACGGGGTCTTACCTAGGCTCTTCTGCACAAAGGTGTAGATGTGAATCCGGGTTCCAGTGCTTCCTGCATCAAACATTATGCCATAAAAAGTGTTGGCTTTGGCATTTATAGGGCACACATTAGGTGGAAAGAAATCCTGAAACCACATCTCCCTGTTTGAATGGGAATGAACAAAGGACAAAGAGGAAAATGCCAGTGCTAGAAGGATAGGGAGTCTGGAACATGCCATCCTGCCAGGACCCCTTGAGGCAGTCAAGTGTGGATCAGCAATTACACAGTTGCAGTAGGTTCTGTAGGAAAAAAAAAAAAAAACCAAAAACAAAACAGAACAGGAATGGAAATTACCAAGAGTCCTCTCCTTAAAAAGTCTGTAGAAAAAAAAAAATTAAAAAATCAGTCTGTACACATATAATCTGCCCTTTAGATGCTTTTCAACACCTCACACAAAAGATAGATTTACTGCACTTAGTGCTACAACTGTATCTAAGTCATTTGTTCTGTCAGAGTGAAGGTTTCTCCATTTTCCAAATGCGGAAGAGTTAAAGTAGCCTGCTTCCCAGTATTTCTAGTTTTGACTTTAGACATTTTTTTCTCTGATTTGGCTTGAAAGTTCTCAACATTTACAGTCCCCAGAACCTCCAAAAAGCCCAAATGTTATCTGAAAAGAAGCATCACTAAACGGGAGCTCAGGGCAGAACTGCTTTGCCCTAACATTTACAGACATGAGATGCTGTGGCAGAACACAGTGTTATTCAGAGTCACAAACAAAGAGAATTTCGTCTTGCGCTAAGAGCAGCTGCTGGGAAAGATCAGCACACAGACAGAGCGATGGCATATCCTTCCAGCAGCATCCTTGTCCCCAAGAAAAGTCTGTGCTGCACGAGAGGGACTGAACTGTAAAGTCCACTTGGGCTCTGCCTCTCAATATTTTTCATACTTTTTCCATCTTCATGTTGTTTTTTCATTATTTTCTCCTGACACAGTTTTCATTTTGAGAATTACAAAAAACCCCAACAAAACCTCACCACACTCCCACATCTAGACCAGTTGCCCTGAACACTCAGGTTGCTTACACAGCTTCTAACAACACCTGCTATAAGCCAAGGCCCCAAAGTTGTCTGATGCAGTATAGGATATCAAGATACAACTACAACTCCTCCCTGTTAACACGTATGTCTTTGCGTATATTTTTTCCTAAGAAATACTAATAAAGGAAAGATATGGGCACAGACATTATAGGTTTCATTAGGTGCCCAGGTAAAAAGGAGCATAATATACAGCTATCTTTCTTATTTGCATTTTAACAGCAGAAAAGAGCATGTGGCCAGATGCCCCAGCATATGCAGTATCGCCTGCACTGACATACACACAGCACTCAGCATACAGAAGGTGCAAACAGCTCCTTGTCATTCTCCAGACACTTGGTAACACATCCATCCGCCCACAGCACTGAATATTCTACTTCGTACGTCTGTTCATCTGCTCCGCCCCAGACCCTCACCCACCTCTAGCCCTTAGATTTGATTGTATTTTAGCGATCTGCTCAGCCCCAATATGTTCATTCTCTCAAAATCTTTATTTGCCGTCTCTATCCTACATTTATTCATTCCTAACCCAAACCTCTCTCCTTTCCTTTCTATGTGAACCAGACACGGCCTCTGTTTCCACACACCTTTCTCCCACGCCCAAAGATCTCACTTATCCTCCACTACCTTTTATCCCAGATTTAGCCCTCGTATGACTTTTAGTATTACCATCCTTCACCTTTGTCCCCAGTTACAGCAAAGTGAGATTAACTTTTACCCATTCTCAATACACAACGTCACATTGGGTCATTCCTCAAGCGCCCCTCTAACTCACGCAAGCGTTCAGCTATCTCTAGGGCAAACACAACGCACAGCCCACTGCAGAAGGGTAGCCTTGCCTGTCTTCTGTGACCTTTATTTGTATCCTCGCGTTCTTAGTAAACACAGAGCACCGAGAGCAGAAGCACAAGCTCTTGATCCGCTCTGCCTTAGCAGCACATTCTGAGAAGAGGAAGAAGTGAATTTACAATTCCACCAACGGGCAATAGCACTGGCCGCCCTCTGTGACAGATCAACGCCAACTGTAACAGTTTGTAAAGCATTCACATTTTATGTGGAAATAAGTAAAAACTTAGTCTTAACCTGTAACAACTTAAAAGTCCTATCCTGAACAGAGTTCACAAAAAGTGCTGAGCTGTGTGGCAGCTTCATAGCCGTGGATTTGTACTAAGATGCAGCTGGCATTATCCACGTTTGCTTCATCACTGCAAGGAGGTCTACTGAACATCCAAGAAGCTGTGCTGTTTTAACAGAACGTAAGCCGCATTAATGAGTACTACCTTCCAGCCAGTGAGAAGAGGTGGTATTATTCTCATGCAATGTAAGGATTTTGCTTACCGAACAATCACAAATACAACCCAAACACCTGCCTTAAGAACAAACTCCAGAGTCCTATTACAAACGACACGTGACACTTACGCAAGCCTCAGAGATCTGAAAATATCTGAGCAACTGCTATCATTAATACGTTTTTCTTGCCAGATCTACTAGTGGATGAACCTTAGTTTCCCATGAAACACTCCCTCACTAAACTTCTCTTCTCTATGCTTTCTCAGATATCTACGACAATTTCACTTTCCGTTCTCTACTTCTCCCCTGACTTTTTTCCTTCCCACCTTTATCCTCATAAGGACAAAAAAAATAAAACTCAGGATTTTATTTTCCTTCTCCCTTGTTAAGGATGAGAAAAGCACACTGAGCCTCCTCGATGAGTGATGCAGACCATTTAACCAAGTGCCCTACCAAAAAAAGTGTCTACAAGAAGCAGAAAAATAGATGAGTTTAAGAAATCAGAGACAAGAGAGGGAAACGGGCAGAGCATAACAGAAATGGCAATGGAAAAGGAATTTGGAAAGAGAGGGTTGGAACAAAGAATGGATGAAAAAAATGAAGGCAGAAGTAGACAAAAGGGAGAGATTAGAAAAGGAAAGGGAGAGAAGGGAAAATAAAAAGAGCTCCTCTTAAACAACTTAAAATCCTAGGATGGATAAAATGAACAGCAAACAAAAAGGAGAAAACAGGGTAACAGTAATATGAGCACAAGTTCATTAATATAAGCAAGCAGTTCAGCAAAAAGTGCAGCAGGTAAAACGCACAGGTCATCGTCAGTAGGCTCCAGTTACTGCCTTTATTAATGAGCAGTAATAATCAACATCAATTGCGAATAGGTTAGGCACACACCTGAAGCAGGATGGAAGCAACAGCTATTTCACTCCAGAGATTCCTAATGAAAACCACTTCGGAGCACTGCAACAAGAGACACTGCGCCTGCACTTCTTCACCTTCGCTTTCAGCTAGCAGGAGTGGACTACGTATCAGGCAAATTATAAGATCACGGAGGCACATAAAATATCAGTCGAGTTGCTTTATTCAAATTTCAGTTTATCATTGCTCAATACAAGCAGTGAAACATGCTCAGATAATTACATGGGATGAATTTCAAGAAGTTGAAAGTTAACAGAGTTTGACAAGTTAGTAAAACATTGACACAAACATTATGGGTGACCTCTACAGCACTGGCCTGAGTCCAGTGACACAAGGTAGAATGCTCATTTCCCAATGCAGAGAAATACATGTAAATATCATCTGTATAAGGCAGATTTTAGATACTAAGCCGAGAAAGTTGAAGCACATCCAATACAAAGATTTGGAAGCTGCACAGACTGTACATTCCAAAAATACTGGGATGCTGCATAGAGACTGCCAAGACTGAAAGCATGAATAGCAAGAAAGAAAAAAAAAAAAAAAAAAAAAAAAACCCCCCCCCCCCCCCCCCAAAACCAAACAAACTCTTCTTTAACAACAAAAGTAAAAACAATGCCCAAATAATAATAAACCTTAAGACAGCCAAACACAACCTTACTTAGAGTTTACCATTCACAGAAACGGTAATTTTCAAGACAAGAAATTCTCACCCACATTCTTCAATATTTCTGACAAAAGAACATGGAAAACTCAAACCACAGCAACAGGAGCATCTCGCTGTAAAAAGGAGTCTGTCTGTCCTCAGGGGAAGGAAAAGCAGTGTACATGAGATACACAAGAATTTCCTTTCTGTTTTCTAAAACATTATTGGGAAATATTTGGATATGAAGAAAAAAATTAGAAAATAATTAGAAATATTTAAGATACATAAATATTTAGGCAAATATTTTAGGAAACAAAATAGATTAACCATGTAATTAATACTGTTATTTATTGCTGAAGCACAGCAAAAATAATTCAGAATAGAAGGTCTATTTTCTGCACTAAAGCAGTAACAAGATCTACCTCCCAGATGAGCAGCTTTCACACTTAACACCCATGATTAGACAAATGCATTTTTACTTTTTTTTTTTTTTTAGAGAAACAAAAAGTTTCTGGACTTATTTTTACCTAGTAAAAAAATGCTTTCTTGATTGTTTTGACAAAAATGTAAGCTTCTTAAAAGTACACAGTTTAAAAATCACAACAGAAAAAATAACTGAATACATTGGCAGCATTTCCCAGCATTTCCATAAAGATAATGGCACAGCTTTCTTTGCACATGTGCATTTGGGGTAAAATTCTGGATCTAGAGCTTTAAACGCTAGGGAAAAAACCCACAAAACAACAACTCGCAAACATGCATTATCAGCAGTTTTAATCTTCTTTTTCCCATACTGAGGCTCCAAATACACATTATTTATTTATTCTCATTTCTAGCCAAGTGGGTTTTCAATTTTCCTTTTTAATTAGACGAAGGCAGCTTTCCAAGAGACTGCTGTGTTAGCGTCGGCCTCCTGCGGTGTCACTGTTAGCGAGCGTCCCTTCACAGCTGTGTAACTGCACACCTCCAGGGGCTGGAAATAACATCTTTTATTGGGCCAACCGGTATTCTCAGAAAAGAGATTTGTTGGGTGATGAGAGATTTTGCCTCAGTCTCAGCCAGGGGAGAACTCCAGGGCAAAATTTCAGCGTGACGCTGCTAGCTGCGCACCTTGAAAGCGTTCACCAGAGCTTCGCCAGGAATCGTCTGGAGACGGGAACCCTCACGCCCCCCGCCCAAATCTAACTACCGTCAGGGCTGTAGGTTTACTAACTCTTACACGCCTCAGCGCCGAAGCATTCTCCCTTTCCCCACGTCAAACGGCTGCAATCCAAACGCCTACACTGAACACGCCCAAAAATACAATCCCCTACCTGCACTTTCTCTGCCCAAGCAAAAGTCTCCGCGGCTCCTCCCTGCGCCCCCCCGGCGGCGGTAAGCACGGCCCTCGGGATCCCGCGGCTGCTTTCCCGAACCCCGTACCGAGAACACTCGCCGAAATACTTGTTTCTTCCTCGTTAGCCACCCACAGTTGTGACTCGATCAAGATAGCGCGTCCTTCTGCCCGCCCCGGGCGGCAGCGCCGCGGGAACTAACGGAAACGCTTTCA